GGTCTCCCACACCCACCTCCCCACCAATTTGGATCGCTTGTTGTTCCCTTGTCAATATGGGTCTCTTCCAGTCGGTCGGCCAGATAGCTGTTTCCAAATTTCATGTTATAGACAAGTGAGTTTCCGGTGCTTCATCCGCTTGTTGAAACACTTCCTTTGGGGTTCCAGCAGTTCCTGGAGCCTTGTTTTTGGTTTTTGCTTCCAGTGCAGCTTGGACGTCTTCCTTAAGCACCACTGGTTCTTGCTCACATGCTGCCTCCTGAAATGGTAGAATGTCAGCTAGTTCCTTTGGACACAGTGACTCTGGATTCTTTCCGTCTTCTTCAGATGCTTCCTACATCATATATTGCCCATAGAACCTTTAATGTTCCTCGAGGCTAGACTTTTTTCTTCAGTTCCCTCAGGGTGAGACCCGCGAAGTGTGTTTTCCCTGGGTTCTCTGGGTGTCACTATTACAGAGGCATTTTCAGAACTGTCTCTCAGAGCTGCCAGTTAAACCTTCACCTTTCAATTGGCAGTCAGGAGCTGAACCATATTGCCACTGGAGCTGCTATCTGCGCACACTGTCCGCTGTGTTTTCCCAGCCATTCATTTCACTTGAATCCGTACCGTGTGGGCGTTTTAGTACAGACTGAGGGAGGAGGCTGCCCAGCTCCTCCCGAGTCTCCTGCTGCAGTGAGGGGAGCTCCCAGCCTGTCTCCCGAAAGGGGACCAGTGTCAGATTTGGACTGGGAGGTTGGCCCTTCTCCCATCAGACCTGGGGCTCCTGAGTCCCCCGTGGGACCCTGGGTCTCAGGACCCTCAGCCACAGTCTCTGGAGCACTGCTGCCTGGCACACAGTAGGGTCTCCACATGCGCAGCAGGATGCTGGGGCACCAGAGTGGCTCAGGAATACCAGTGCCCAGGGGACTGGCAGGGGCAGGGCCTTGGGGCCTCTAAGCTACTCCTCTAAACAGGCCTCCTGGGTTGGCAGGACTGGCCAGAGGTGGGGCTGAAGGTGGTGGTCCTAGTGGGTGAGATGGATACTGAGTAGGTGTCTGTGTGGCCAGGTGGCACCCACTGGCCAAGGGGGAATGGAAAGGTCTTCTCAGTCCAGGCCACAGACCAGGGGTCCAGAAGTAGGAAGAAGCTGTGACCCCCCAAGGCTCATCTTGTCCACATGGAACCCGTGACACCCATCTGCCTGCCATCCAGTGGGACTTGCAGGGGCAGCTGAGGCGCCGTGCCTGGAGCCATGTCTGAGGGGCAAGGAAGGAACTGCAGTGGCTCCCTGCTCTGCCTTGTGCCCAAGCTTCATGACCTCAGGTGCTGGCCATGGCCTCTCCCCCTGCCCCACCCCAGCCCACTGCCAGTGCTCCCTGGACTGCAAGTCACTGGAGGCCTGCGGATCACCTCCTGCCCTCCAGCTCTGCCCAGGTACAGAGTGTGGCCCGGTGACCTGGACAGGGCCCAGTCCCAAGGCCAGTATGCCTGCCATCCACTGGGTCTATGGTCTAATGGTGTCCACCTTTAGGCATCCTGGAAGTCCCCCCGCCCCTGCCCCCGGGCAATGTCGAGAGATCAAACATGGCAGCCGCAGCGGAGGGTCAGTTTAATGTCACTCTAGGGGTATCGTACATTGTTTTAAGCCATGTCTGCACCCCAGCCCCGTCCTCTGCCCTCGAGCCTGGCTCTGGAAAGGGGGGCCTGCCCCCGAGCCCCAGCTATGTACAGGAGGGCCACCCACAGGCATGTGCCAGGACCCAGCCCCGGCTGCCTGCCCGCCTGCCTGGTTGGGAATGTAGCACTGCAGCTGGTCTGACACCCAAAGGGGCTCTTCTCTGTTGCTGCCCGGGCTGCCCACTGGGCGGTGAGGTCAGAATAAGCGCGGGTATGGGTCCAAGCGACAATGGGGCCTCAGGGTGGACAGCCAGGCTCACCTGTGCTGGTGATGAAGACGGCCGGCCAGGGAGTCCTGACCATGCCCGCCAAGCGGCCGCTGCAGGACCAGAGTGCAGTGCACACCGGGAGCTGGCCATGTCGCCGCTCGGCATGTCTTGGGTGTAAAAATGGCACTTATTTCTACGCCCCACGGAGGACAGCCTCCAGCCCAGGCCACGGGCAGGCTGGGTGTCCAACCTTGGCTGGGGCAGCCGGCAGAGAACCTGAGCAAGCGGCCTGAGGACTGTGGTCAAGCCAGGACTTCACCCAGTGCCTGGCCCCCCGGCGCAGTGGCCTCACAGGACGCCGTCAAAGTCCAGCAGCTTCGAGTGCTGCCTGCTCTTCCACAGCCGGTACAGCCGGAAGTCGAAGTACGTCTCAATCATCTGCTTTCCTGGGGGGAAGGGGGCTCAGTGCTCGGAGCCACTGTGTGGACAGGGTAAGGGCAGGCAGAGGGGCCAGCGAGCGGGTGGCCAGACTCACCTTGGGCCGACAGCTCCAGGGGGGACTGGAAGGTGACCTTGTTTGGGGTCATGAGGGTGCTGAGGTTCTGAAACAGCTGGGGAAAGGGGCAGGGCAGTGAGGGGGACAGGGGTGTAGGGGCAGAAGCAGAGCCCCTTCCTCTCAGGCTAGGCCGTACCCTGGGGGCTCACTCTGCCAGAGTCTGCCCTGGGGCTCCCAAGGCTGTCACTGTCACTGCCCCCCAGAGAGACCGCTCAGAGGGCAGTGGACCTCCAGGGCTCAGGCCAGCACCTCATGGGAGGTGGCTGCGGTACTGGATCTTTCTCAAGTCTGATTGAGTCCCCACCTTCTCTCCATTGGGGTTCCCCAGGATGTAACAGCCCATGACGTGGATGACATTCGGCTCTGGGTTCACCTTGCTCATCAGGCGGCTCAGACGCTTCCAGAAGCTGGAGGCAGGGGAAGGGGTGGGGTACAGGTCATGGGGTCTCATACCCAGGTTTCAGTGGTGAGAAGGGGAAAGTCAAGGGAGCTCTCCGGTCCAAGTTCCTAGTGGTAAGTGGGGGACAGGTAATGGGGGGGTGGTCTCATGCCCAGGTCTCAGTGGTAGGGGAAGACAGCTCATGGGATGGGAGGGGGGTGTCTCATGCCCAGGTCCCCAAAACAGAGAGGGGGTCGTGGGGCTCCCGGGCCTCACTGGATCATGTCTTCTTCCTTCTCCACTTTGGCAAACGTGGCCACCTTGTTCTTGAGCAGATAGAGGTGTCCGGGACCTCCCTGTGAGAGTCAGGAATGGGGAGAGGTGGGTTCTGGGGGCTGAGAGGGCCTCCATCCAGCATGTGGTACACACACACACCCATGCCCTAGGCAGCCCCTCCCCACCTGGCAGAAGATGAGCAGCTTCCAGATCCGAGCCCCCTTGTGGTAAATGTTCAATTTCTTCTCAATCTCCTCTGGGGGCAGGGGACAGCGTGAGCAGTGCTGCCCCACCCCGACCCCTGCACCCACAGTCCCTGCCGCCTGCTGACCCAGGACCAGAAGGGATGCTTACCCAGGATGTCCTCAAAAGTAGCATGCTCGTGATCCTGAAGACAGAATCAGACCACATCAGGGTCCCTCACCAGGATGTCTGCCCCACCCATGGGGCCTATCCCCAACTGTGAGGCCTGTCCCTCCTAGGGGCTGTGTCTCCCATGGGCCTGTCCCTCCTAGGACTGTCTCCTCATGGGGGTGGGTGGGGGTGGTGTCTCCCATGGGCCTGTCCCTCCTAGGACTGTCTCCTCATGGGGGTGGGTGGGAGTGGTCTGTCTCCGGGGGTCCCTGGGGCACTCACGTAGAGGATGGGGATGATGGAAGGGTCGTCCCTGCGGATGATGGTGGGGATGTACTCCGCTTTGGGGACCTTGGAAGAGATGAGCTGAGGAGGAGTGGGGCTGCTTAGGGCGACAACTGCCCTGGAGTCCCTGTGACCCCAACCCCACCCTCGAAGCCCCACCTTGCTGAGCCTCACCATGACCTTGGGGGGGACAAAGTCCTCTGAGCCACAGGCCACAGCCTCCAGACCCTTCTCAGTCTCCCAGTCCAGGCCCTCCAAGTCCTCATCCAGGGTGCAGCAAGACCCCTGCAGGTCATTACCTGCGGGAGAGGAGGGAGGTCATAGGGGGCAGGGGAGGGTAGTCAGCCCACCATCTCCTGCCCCAGCCAGGCAGGGTCCCTCCCCCTGAAAATCAGGGACACAACTGATGCGGGGTGCAGAGGGAGGACCACTGCACCCCCACCTCGAAGCCTCAGGGCTCCCACGAGTGGGGAAGGGTGCACAGCTAGCAAGGCACCCCACGGGGAACCCCAGCACCCCATCTGTAGCACTGCTGCAGCCACCGGCGCCTGCATTTTCAGGGTGCGGGCTCAGTTAATCCCACCAGAGAAAGGGAGGTGCTGAACCCCAATCTCACAAGGGAAACTGAGGGTGAGCATGCCCAAGCACAGAAGACCTGTTGGGCAGAAGGCCAGCCAGCTCAGCACCTACTGTCTCGGGAGTCGTGGGAAGTGTCGGCTTTCATAGGGGTGGGGTCGCTCCAGGACCTGCTGAAGCTCCGCTCCCGCCGCTCAGCGAACGCTGTAGTGAAAGCAAAAGCCACTTTAGCCAGCAGGGGCGTGGCTGGAGGGGCGTGGCCTGAGTTTAGGGGAGGGAGTGGAGTCTTGGTGCCAGGGGGCAAGGGCTAGGGGAGGAGCCTGAAACTGCTGGGGCGGGGCCTGCACTGAGTGTGTCTACATCAGTGGGTGGGGCCTGTATGTGACAAGGGGCGTGTCTAGGCCTGTGGGCGGGGCATTGGGCGGAGCCTAGGTGCAGCTAGCAGCCCGCGAAGCCGGCCAAGCAGCAGGCGCCCCTCCAGCAGCCCGGCCTTACTCTGGGCCTTCACCCGCCGGCTGCCGACCATGCGCAGGTGTTTGCGGAAATTCCTGTTGGAGGAAGCAGTGGTGAGAGACGACGGGAGTCCACCAGCCCATCCACAGGACCTCCCAACCAGGGGCGCCTGAGGTCCTGCGCCTCTCCTGCCTCTTGGGGCCCCTCATCCACGCCCCTAAAGGCAAAGCCCCTAGGATGAAAGCACATTTTTCACTGGCTCCCAGGTCTACCTGGGGTACTGGCTCTCAGATCCATCGGTTTCCCCACGAGCCCCACATCCTCTCCAGATTCCCCTCTACCCCTCCTGGGCCCACCCTGCAGAGATCTTGTTACCCTCCCTGCCCCCCAGGGGGCACCCTCCTCAGACAGCCCCATCCCCACCCCCCACTGTGGACAGCCTGCTGTTAAGTCTCAGACCCAGCCCCACAGTCCTGGGCCTCGGGGCCACACCCTGAGGGCCGCTGGGCAGTTTCAGCTGCCCAGGGGCCGCCAAGCTGGTCTGGGGCAAGGCCGCCGGGACCCAGGCTGACGGCCCCACCCCTGCCGCATGTCCCAGAGCAGGGCCAGGCCAGTCGCCGCCACCCGCCCCACCCGGCCCACCTTGGCCCAGACAAGACGGAGCTGGTGGCGAGTGGCAGCAGGCCCTACCTCTGGATGACAGACGCGGACTCATTCTCCCGCTTCCGGCGCTTCCTCTCTGCGTAGCCCCGAAACACCCTGGGAAACCGCTGCATGTCAGAGCCCCCACGATATGCACCCCCGCCAGGCCAGAGGCCTAACCCAGCCCTGCCTGCTGGGAGCCAGTCCCTGCCGTGCCCAGGGGCTGGCCAAGCTATGTGGGGTAGGGGACACCCAGGGACCTTTGGCTCAAGGTTTGGGATGGTACTTACGAGATGCTAGTGCGCCAAGGGAGGGCGGGAGCAGAGAGAGAGAGAGAGAAAACAGTGAGGGCCTCAGCCTCCCCGGGGCCCAGCAGCAGGCCACCTGATATGGGTTCGGTTCCTGCAACCAGGTCAGTTCTGGGCTGGGCTGAGAGAAGGCCGGCCTGGGCAGTGGTGCCTGGGTCTCAGCTTAGGGGCGAGGCTTCTTTGGAGCCAGGTGGGGGACATGCAGTGTGAGAAGTGGGGGGAGGCTGGTGTGAGAAAGGGTAAGGGACTGCCAGTGTGAGAATGAGGGGAACACGCATGGGAATGGGGGTGGGGGAGGGACATGTGGAAACATGGTAACAGGTGTGGGAAAGGGCGGCAGACAGCCAGTGTAGGAACGGGGTGGGGATGGGGGATAGATGTGGGAATGGGTTAGGGGGGCAGGTAGTGTAGAAATCGGGGGCATGTGTGAAGACAGGGTAGAGATAGGTATGGGAACTAGGGAGATAAGTAGTCTGGGAACGGGGGACAGGCAGTAGTGGGAACAGGGGGGCAGATATAGGAACAAGGACCCCCAGGAGGTATATACTGCAGGGACCCTGATGTGTGTTGAGGAAAAAGGGCAGCAGGCTCTTCAGGCACTCCCAAATATCACAGTTTTGGGGATAGGCTGAGGATTTGTGCTGTGTACCAGAGGAACATATGGGGACAGGAAGGACATGTCCTGGGGTCACCCAAGCCAGCCAGAGGTGGCCATGCCGGCAGACTCTGGGGTACAGGTCCCCATGGGTGCCACCTGCGGCTGACTTACGCTTGCATAGTGGTGGTTGCCGTCTGGAAGCTGAAGAGGCTCTCCTTGGGGAACCAGGTGCGAATGGGCACTTCATCTGGGGGACCCAAAGAGCAGTGACCAGGGCGGGCAGGGCCTCCAGACCCCCACCCTCTCCAGCAGAAGACACCCAGCCTCATAGAACAGGGGGAGACAGTGACCATAGAGGTAAGGAGGGGTCCCCAGGTTCCTAATCAATTGGGCAGAGGACGCCTGGGCCAAGTGGCCCAGCATGAGCAGGAACAGGTAGGAGGATGTGCAGCTGGCAGGGCAGGTATCCTCCAGTGGGACCCCAGGGCCCAGAGCAAATCCTCAGGGATTTCCTGAGACCGTGGCCCTACAGTCTGCAGGAGCCTGGGGGAGGGCTGCCTCCCTTGGGCAGCACCTGCTGCCTGCCCACAAGGCTGCAGGGAACCTTCGTGAGCTCACTACCTTCTCTATTCAGGCTGGCAGGCTAGACCTCCTCCAGGCCCTCCCAGCATGGCCAGCTGTAGCCCTGCCTAAGGAGCTGCCTTGCTGAAGACCACCAGCTGAGGGCAGTACCCTGGTCACACCCTGAGCAGGGATCAAAGAGGCGACCGAGGCCGTGGGGAGGTGGCTATCCCATTTGGGTGTAGGGAGGCTAGCTGTGCCTGGAGGATGCAGTCTAAGGAGGTAACCTCCAAGCCTGGAGGCTTGGGCTGCTGGGGTACTGGGGGTAGGTGGGGGAGGCTGTCCAGGGGGCACAGTAGCTGACTTCAGGGACTCCCCAGAAAGTCACTCACTGGCTGCCCAGCCCCAGCTGGCAGAGCTCCTGGGATGCGCAGTGGCTCCCCCTGGTGGCCTAGGGCCAGAACCGGTGCCCAAGCAGCTTGGCCATCAGCGAAAGCCCCCTTTTCAACCCTTCAGATCTTGACAGGGCCCCTAATGTCCCACCCTACTCCTGCCTTGCCAGGAAGCCCTCCAGGATTGGTCCTAATTGCACCAGGAAGCTACTAGAGGCCGCAGGGCCTTGCCAGCCCAGGCCCAGGGAAGACACCCAAGGTGTATGTAGCCCACCTCCTGCCGGTGACTTGGCCAGCTCTTAATGGCCACTCCCCTCCTGCCCGGGCCAGCCCTCACCAGACACTCGGTCCTCGCTGTGCATCCTCTCCAGCTTCTTGCGGTGGCCAGTGGGCTCAGGCAGGGGCGGCGGGGCCAGCCCAAAGGCCTGAGGGGAGGGCCTGGGGGCCGGCGAGGTGCAGCCGGGGCACTCCTTAGAGCCCTGGCGGCTGCCTGTCCAGCTCTGGCAGGGCCTGTTGAGGTCATGGCTGCTGCTGCCAGGGCTGCCCCGCAGGGGCTGGCTGTGGTGGTGATGCCCGCCCTGCCGCCGGCCCTTCACCACAGCTAGCTCGATGGCTTCGGCCTGGGGGCTGGGCAGCAGGGCTGGCTCGCCTGAGATGGTATACACCCGGGGCTCGAGACCCTCGCCTGCTGGCTTCTCTCCGCCCACGTCCTCAGACAGACTGCCCTCATAGCGGCCGTTGGAGACGAGGGAGAGGCGACGCTTGTTCTGGGGGGCTGGCTGCATCTCGGGGGACCCGTCGTGGCCGGAGTATGCATCGGCCAGCAGGTGATCTGGGGAGAGGGATCCTTGAGCCTGGGTCTCCCATGGGCAGGGACTCCAGGAGGGGGCTTGGGGCT